GAATCTAGGTCCTGCAGGATAGCTCCACTGGGAGGGAATTTGCCACAGGGAGAAGTAGAGCTTCACATGAAAACACACGTGACACAAGCAGTACATTGATAGAATTACAGAAAACGAAGAGTAACCCGAATAAATGAGCATACCCCAAAGTAATGGGACAAATCTGGTAACAACTGGGAGATTGGGAAGACGCACACTAGGGTGTGGTTCAGGGGACTGCAGGAACGCATGCCAGGATGCGGCTCAGGGGGCTGGGACTGGAGAGGAGATAGGCAAGGGCCATGCATAACAGGGTGTGGTTCTGGGGATTGGGAGATTGGGGAGACGCCCAAGAGGGTGCAGGACTGTGGGGGCGCCTACCAGGGTGCGGCTCGGGGGGCTGGGAGACTGAAGAGGAGATAGGCAAGGGCCATGCATACCAGGGTGCAGCTAAGAGGGGTCCTAGTGCCCCGCTTGCCGCCCTTCCGGAGCGTGTCCTCAAAGTCACTGCCTGAGTCGGAGCCACCTCCATCTTCACTGCTGCTCAGGTCCCTATGGGCAGAGCACACGTCCTGACCAGTCAGCCCCCATGGCCTCGCTGCCCTCCTCACAGCCCCAGAGCTCCCGTCATGCCACCCGGCACATCCACACCACCCCAGCAACCGCTGTGGTCCGAGGACTCCCCAGTGATAGACCTGTAGGACTGGAAGGGACCTCAGGAAGTTAAATTAGTCCAGTCCCCTGCACTGAGGCAGAACTAAGTATTATCTAAACCAGTGGTTTTCAAACTGGGGTACATGAGCTCTCGTCAGGCGGTACGTGAGAAAAATCCTGCGATGGCAGACAACACACAGTGTTATCCCTTACCAACCTTGTTTCTGCTTTCATAGGTATATTACAACTCTCTCTCAGATGGGGGTACGTGGTACATTATATTATTCGGAAGGGGTATGCAGCCTAAAAAGTTGGAAAACCACTGAACTAAACCATCCCTGACAAGTGTCTGTCTAACCTGCTCTTAAAATCCTCCAGTGCCAGAGATCCCATAGCCTCCCTGGGCAATTTGTTCAAGGCTTAACCACCCTGACAGCTAGGAAGGGCTTCCTCATGTTTTACCTAAACCACCCTTGCTGCAGCTTCAGCCCTTTGCTTGTTGAGAACAATTCATCACCCACCTCTTTAGAACAACCTTTTACGTATTTGAAAACTGTTTTCACGTCCCACCCCCTCAGTCTTCCCTTCTCCAGATTAAACAAACCCATTTTTTTTCAATCTTGCCTCACAGCTTGTGTTTTCTAGACCTTTCCTCATTTTTGTTGCAGAAAGTCCCGAGGAGAGCAATCTGTCCACATCTTTCCTGAAGTGTGGTGCCCAGAACTGGACTAAACTCCAGTTTAGGCCTCATCAGTGCTGAGTGGAGCTTATATCACTCCTGCTAATGCAACCCAGAATGATGTTCACTTTTTTTGGCAGCAATATCACATTTTTGCTCATTTATTTTGGGATCCACCTCAACCCCCAGAGGTTGCCTCAAGCACTCCTTCCTAGGCACTCACACTCCCATTTTGTATTTGTGCAGTTGATTATTCCTCCCTCGGGGTAGAAATTTGCATTTGTCCTTGCTGAATTTCACCCCATTTGTTTCAGACCATTACTCCTGTTTGTTCATTTGGAAGTCTAAACCTTGCAACCTGCTTGGTACCATCCGCAAGCTGTGTAGGTGTGCGCTCTATGCCATTACCCAGTGCTAACTCCTAACCCACCGCTCTCCAGCTTTCCCCAACACTGTCCCCACACCGGTGATCCTCCAGTGCTCCCCCGCTCCCCGCCTGCTCCCAGACAGCCTGTACAGTGCTCTGCGCCCCACTCACAGGACATCTGGCGCCCCGGAGGCTGGCAGGGAGCCCATCTCCGCATCCCCCTGCGCCACAGAGGGGCTGGAGCTGGTCCACGTGCCCTGCGGCTGCGCCAGGGAAGAACTGGAGCTGCATGGGGAGTTGAGAAGGCGGGAGGATTTCCGCAGTAACATGGCAGGAGGGAGCGAGGCCTGGATCCCGGAGCAGCCTGTGGGAAGAGCACAGCACATGTGATGGGATAGCGGGGAGAACGGGGCCTCCCCAAAGGCCAACAAGGGGAAACCACCTGCAGGGTCACCCACCCCGGATCTACATACAACCCCATGGAGATGGGTCCTGAGCCAGCCCAGCTGCAGGGATCCGGCCCGGGGGAGTCACCCCCCACCCCTCCTCCCGCCCCA